GGCCCGGCTCCATGAACTTCAGCGGGCCTACCAGACCGAAGGTGCCCGGCCAGGTCACCCCCTCGGTGGTTCTGTTAAAGGGCTGCTAAAGAAACTGAGGATGTCCTCTGGCACCAGTCAGAGGGACATTCACTTCTCTCTGCAAGAGGCTAAGGCTGAACTTGCTGCTGCAGACAAGTCCATGCGGGTTCAGCGGCTCCAGACTTGGCGGGACAATTTCCTGAAGACTTGCTCTGCCACAAGGTGATCCGCTAGGACCCCTAGTCGCAAGCCTCTATATGTCAGCGGGGCTCCGGCAGGTTCAGAACTTGGCAGGACTTGGCCCTGTGAAAACGCAGATCTGGATGGACGACAGAACGGTCGTGGCCTCTTCTGCAGAGGACCTGCATCAGCAGGTCACCGCCTGGGCCGAGTGGAGCTCCTCGGTCGGTCTGGTGGAGAACTTAGATAAGCTGCAAAAACCCCCGCAATGTTGATCAACTTAGTATAGCTTCTTTGATCCCTCTGCGGTTAAAACCGAGGTCACTTTCCTAGGTGTTGCTTCCGTCTCTAAGAGGCGTAAGCATGTTGAAGTCGAAACGGACAGGTTGAAATCGACTAAGGACATCGTGCGCACCTTAGCTTCCCTTCAGCTCCCAGGTTCAGTTTTCTACAAATACTGCAGAATCTTCGCCATCAGCCGCTGTGCTTACGGGTGGCTGGGTCGGCAACTTCCGTTGTCGGATGCTCGAAAAATTTGGAAGGCTATGAAAGCTGCTTCAGGTGTTGCTCGAAGTGCCAATGAGTGGGCACAAGCAGTGGTCTGTGGCGGTCTCAGTCACCTTGACTGTGTTCAAGGATCCACCTTGGTTCGAGTGGGTTACAGGTTGTTCCAACAAGGGTGTCAGTGGGGAGCCTCCTTTGGCAGTCCTGTCCGCACACTTCGCACTTGGATGACCGATCATGACTGGCATGAGACCCAACCTTGGACTTGGAAGCATAAGCATTCGGGAAACTCTCTGGACTTCACTGCAGCCGGCTTTGATATTGCCGCCTGTCGACATGTTCTCAGAGCTCATTGGCGTATCTGGTGCTTTGACCAGTTCCTCCAGGTGTCACGACGAGAAGTCCCAGACTGTTCTCAGATCTCCTTGGCCGAGTTCGAGCGTGTTGCATGGCACGAAGTGTATCATATTGATTGTGACCCAGCCGCCAGGACTGTCGCTCTTGGTGCTCAATGGTCACCAGCAGCTCTTCACCATCGACCCGGTGCAGATACATCATGTCCATGGTGTGATACACTTGGAACTTGGAACCACGTGGCCTGGGATTGCTGCCAGTCCCCGGTTCTTCATCTGAGGCCGCCAAGGCCGTGCTCAGGTATTGCCCGTCGGTTCGGATGGGATAGCAGTTTGGAAGTTCTCACTTACCTTGCCCAGGTGCAGCGTGCGCTCTGGGAAGCTCGCCACGGGTAACCCCCACTGTTTTGGCCTGCCACTCTTCGGTTTTTTATTTGACCATACTGAGGTTTTTGACCTCCGAGCAGGTCCTGCCTGCCACTACTAAGGTACCTTGCCTGTCTGCTGGCTCTGCCGGCAACAACTAAGGCCTTTGGGCCTTCAGCCGCTTCGCGCGGCTGGACAACGCAGCTTCGTCGGTTGGGCGGCGCCGCTGCGCGGCACTCTTCGTGCTGCATCAAAGTTGTTCTTCTTTGCAATTTGATGATCAATTCTTTGTTTCCTCATGTTGCCAATCAACACGTTTTCAGCATGCCGTGTGTTGCTCGCTCACGACAGTCGCATCGTCAGAAGCTTGAGCAGGGCCATCCTTCAGTGCATTTGGATGTGTTATAATGGCTGAAACTGGTTGTCACGAAATCAGAACTCCTGCGTTTGTGCATAAGTTGCTGGACCGCAATGAGCGGAAGGGCCATCCGGAAGCTCTCAAAGCCATTGAAAACGAGAAACAAGGTCTTCTTGCCAACGGAACTTGGGATGAATCCAACATTCGTCCAAAATCTGAGATTTTAGCTATGGCTCAATCCACTGGCAACAAGAATCACATAGGTTCTCTCATGGTTTTTCTGAGCATGAAAGGTTTTGAAAAGCCGTCCAGTGAATGGATCGTCAAGGCTCGAATTGTGTTTCGAGGAGACGCTGTCAAGGATGAGGAGAATCAAGCAGCAGTGTTTGACGACATTGCAGCCTCAGCTCCCACCAGTCTTGGTGGACTCAACTTGTAACTTGATTGTGGCTTATGGACTCCTTGATGGCAATGAAACTTCCACCAGCGATTGCATCAAAGCATGTGCTCAGTCTTGTTTGAGTTCACCCCAACCTACTTATGTACTTTTACTCATCGGGTTGGTTCCAGATCATGCTAAGCATATACATCAGCCTTGCGCCCCGCTCATCAAATCATTGCACGGTCATCCTTTAGCCAGTGCGTCTTGGCACAACCATCTCTCGAAAGTCCTTGCGCAAGAATTAGGAGGGTTTGAATTTGAGCAGCTACCATCATGCTTTTATTTTCCAAGTCTTCGTTTGGCATTGTCAGTTTACGTGGACGACTTGACGTTTTCAGGTCCTAGTGCCAATCACTCCAAATGTTGGGAAGTCTTGAGAAAGTTTGTGCAGCTTGAAGATCCAGCACCACTTTCAAAAGTGTTGGGTAGAGGCCACATCAAGCACGAAGGAGGTTTAGCTCTTCACCCCGCTGATTTTGCAAGGCAGTTTGTCAAACTTTCGAAGAACTTTCAGGTAAACCTGTCAAACATGTTCGCATGTGGATGAGGGTAGTCTTGTGGCTACTGATCAGGCTGACAGAGGGCAGTTATCCAACGTTGCCGCCAATGTGATGAAGTTCATGTGGCTTGCTCGTATCAGCAGGCCAGACCTTATGGTTGCGATCAATGTTTGTGCAGGTCACATCACCACATGGACCGTCAATGATGACAAACGTATGACCAGGCTTGCTGGCTACGTAGCGGCGACTCTGGATCACTGTCATGTCATGCGTGTTCTGACAAGCCGTCCGACCTGCGATTGTCATTATACGCTGATACAGATTTTGGCAGTGCACCCGACATGAAATCAACTTCTGGGTATCTGCTTGCACTTGAAGGTCCGCGATCATTTGCTTTGATTTTATGGTCTAGCAAGCGGCAGCGTGCTGTTTCAAGATCAACAACCGAAGCTGAGTTCGTTTCATTGTCTACAACTGTTTTTACCGAAGCAGTGCCGTTGCCTGAGATTTGCCAGCAGCTCATCACACCCGAGATCGTGTTGAATTGCTACGAGAACAATCAGGCTGTTCTCGCCATCGGTTCTCTCCCAAGTTAAGGCCTTTGAGCAAGTTTCACAAAATCAACGTTGCTTCAACCTGTGAAGCTTTCAGCAAGCCTGACATCAATGCAGAATACATTGAGACGCTTAAGCAGCGAGCCGATGTACTCACAAAGTCCCTAAGTGTGTCTGCGTGGGATTCCACTCAAGCTTCTTCACATAGTGTCGCTCAAGACCTGAAGCTTTTTCTCCTAAGTGAGTTTTGCATTCCGTATGCATTCAGGGTGCCCGTTTTTACGACCGATGGCATCAAAACCTGACGTTGTGTTACACTGCAGTGTGTTTCATGTTTAGTGGATGTGACTAAGTCCCATTTGCTTTAATTCTCACAGATTTTCTCGGATTTTGCGTAGTCACTTCCTTGAATTTCGCCTCGACAGTAACTGTCTTTCATCCGTTTTGCCCGTGGGTTTTAGGCTGCGTCAGCGCCACTTCCACGTGATCGCCCAATTAATGCCGAGTTTGGCTGCTTCGCGCCACCTCTCAAGCATCCGTGTTGTTTGTTTAATGCATCCGCACAGTAGTGCATGAAATCGCCAGGCATGTCGAGATCACCGAATTGATTTCTGCCATCTCTTGCCTGGAATCCACCTAAAGAGCTATGAGATTTGCATTCGACCGTAGGGCCCACGAGTAGGATGCATTTGTCAGTGTAAGGTGTAACAGCCCTGTACAGTTCGTCGTCAGGGGGGACTTGAAAAATTTGGTGTAAATCATACCCATATTGTTCACTGTAAAGACCCCTTCTGAACATGGTTGTTATTACTTGTTTGGCTCAAGATGAAAACAGGCCGCAGCTGCTGCCCTGGGTGTTTTTGCGGTTTGTTTGTGGTGTTTAACCCCTTTTGTTATTTCGGCTGTTGCTAGGTGATTCAAGTAATGCTGCACTTTCTTTGAACAAAACCTGTGAGAGAGAGAGAGAGAGAGAGGGAGAGAGTACTTCTGGCAAGAAATCTGGGCCCTACTCCCTCCCGGACCCTAAACACAGCTCCTTGCATTTGCAGTGAGAAGAGTGGAGATATATAGTTCTGGTTCCAAGATGTGTCTGAACTGAACTGCTGCAGGGACACCGCCAAAAGCTGGGCGTGTGTACACCGCAAGACCACTCCTTCAATAAGGTTGAGGCCATCAACCACATGATTCAATCAAAGGTCTATAGAGAAATTCTTAGGGGTTGTGGTGAAAAGTTTGATCCACACGTGCTGGACGCAGCCGGAATGACTAGGCCACCCGTCACCAGAAAAAATCGTATATAGGCGTGGTGAACACATGAACTGCTCTGTTTTGGTCGATTTTTCATCACATCTCTGACATCGAAGGCCCTCAAACCTAAGAACTTGCAATCCTTGCTGGTCAGTGGGTCTGATATATCATGTGTCTTAATTATGTTCCATCCCTACCCGCGATGTTGACTCAAACTGGCACTAACCTATATTTTCAGGTGCTCAAGCGACCAACCACGTTTCATTCTCATTAATTGTTTCGCAAGAGTTCAGCATCGCTGTAGGCATTCAAACAGGTTGCAGAGACTATCATGTCGTATGACGCTGATATCGCATGATATATAACCCATGTTCCCATGCTTCCCGCATCTCCAAAATATCACCTAGATCAACCTAGATCTCGCGGAGATCTGTGTTTTTTCATCGTTTTTTGAGGGTTTTGTTCCCCACCCAGGCAGATTGAACTCCTCTTGGAGAATGCTGAGTCAGCTGGTGAGTGCCCTTAAACTTTGATGGACAGGGGCGCAGCGCCGCAGCATGGTGTGGCCAGTACGCGGATGGTAGCGACTCCATGAGTGGATCGATGCCAGGCGACCGGCTGTTTTCAGCACCAGTCCTCCATGGTCACCTTTTTCAGGGAGCATCCGAGCTATCACTGGTTGGTGGTAAGTTAGTTGGTTGATGTTCCATCCCTATTTGGGATGGCCCACACTGGCTCTCTTCATGGGGTGAAACCGGTGAAACCGCCCAGATATGATTTTATCATGTTTCGTTCTGGTCAAATCTGAATGGTAAAGGTGAATCTCCTGAATTCTGTGGGATGGTTCTAGCCCATGATACTTAGGAACAGTTCTAACTTGTTCCTGGCATTGAATCAGAAATACCCGTGGAATCCTGTGGATGTTTAGATGTTTACTGTACTCTTCACTTCATGCACCGCGGGCACCAGACTTTGCCCAGGAGTCAGAACAATTGATTTGAGTTTTGCACTGTTTGCAATTTGCTTAGGGTGTGCACCAGCAAGTGTTTCAGTCTGACTTGTAATGTGTGTTCTCGCCTTGGAATGGTGGCCGTGAGTCCTGCGTGGGTGCGGAAGAATTCCGTTGTGTTGGCGATCACTACTGGTTCCAGGTTTGTGATCATGTGGCACAACGAAGCCACATTATTTATGAGCACGGCGGATTCGCAGGTAAATGTGTGTCACCATCGCCAACACCAGAGCAGTCTTGGTGCTGAAGATGTCGCCTTTCCCAATACAAATGATGCTTGGGAACATACATGAAGTATCATGAAGTCACCTCGGACTTGGTTGAGTCGCCTTACCGGATCCAAGGTTCCATATATATATATATACACATATGTGATGTTTAAAAGTGTTTAACAAGAATGTTCAATTTGAGAAGCTGAATTATTCCTGGACTTATCAGAATATGAATATATATATATATATGTTATAAATATAAATAAATATATATATACATACATATATTATTTATATTTATATATGTGTGTGTGCGTGTGTGTATCGAAACATATTGCAATGCCTCACATATTGCTTTCAAATTGCTCATTATGAAGCTAGCCGGATTCCCATACCTTTGACAGTTATCCGCGGAGATGCACAAATGGAGTCATGGGTGCTTTGTTTAGGTGCTTGACATCAGCACTGAGACTTGTGCAAAGCCGAAGACCGCTGTCAGCTTGAAGCTGTTTTATATGCTGCTGATGAATACCATCTCTAATATTCCTGTTCGTTCCTGTTGATGTTTGCCAGATCTTTATTGAGTCAATACCTTCACAGCAGCAGGTTTCCACTCAAATTCACTCGGTGACCATGCGCCTGCACTTGCCACAGATTAGTACGTCATAGAGGCCAGGCACTTTCAGGGACCATCTGAGTGACCATCCTCAAGTTTCAGCCAGCAATTCCAATTGTTGCTTGAATTTTCGCAATCCAATTTCCTAAAATTTCCCACCATCCTCATAGCTTATATTGTTTGTTTGTAGGGCCCCAGGGCTCCTCATGACAGCTGCTTTCAGCTACTCGTAGCTGGTCATGGTTTGGGGTAGCTACTCAGGCAGGGATTCCTCGAAAACTACCAAACAACTTTCCAAATCCCTCCCAAAATCTACCAGGAGGAGTTGTTCCAGGAAGGCTGTAGTTTTCTCCTATTTTCCTTACAACTTCCGGGCATTAGACGTGGTGACCATGTGGTGATGTGCTCCATGGTTACTCTGCTAGTCTGACACCGTGGTCGCACGGTTGCGTAAACTGGTGGGACTCTTTGGGGACAGCGGAGGGTGGGTCGTGGAGCTTGTCCCAACTGGACCGACCCGCAAGCAACTGCCTCCAGCAGCATCAAGCAGCTAAACAGACAGTTTCCAATGTTTTCGTAATGATCATCAATGCCTTTACTTGAGGATGCAGTTCCACTTCATCATAGGCTATAATAAATGGGTACAGTATATGGCCACAATTATTATGATTACTCCGACTTGTTCCATCTTATTCCCACTCACAACCGCAGCCAATCATGGGGATTTATAGGTTAACTAGCTGGCTGTAGGTACAACTTCTAGAGAGATTTCCGGTTCATTCTCCAATGTTTAGTTTAGTTTCCATACCAATTTGGGATACCCACACGAATTGACTTGCACGTTTAAGGAGGAGTAATGCCGCCAAACGGTGCCATCAAGCAAGGAAAAGGCCGCATTGCTCACGTGTCATAAGGCCTTGAATTTTTAGTCGCCATCTGAAATATGCATTATGTCACTATTGGTCCTTCAGTTGGCAAACACGGTTCCTTTGCTTGATGGGGGTATAGATTGGCCATTGGACAGATCGCGGTCTCAGCATGCAACCTTTGGTTGGCAAGTCCCCAAATCTCAAATTCTTGGTCATCAGAGCTGTCAGGGCTGACTTTCCCTTTCATGGATTGCGCTTCTAAGAGCAGGAAACAGGATGATTTTGCAATGAACAGACCGCGAGACGATTGGTTGGGTAATATTTCATGATACTTCAACATTGAACAAGCAACTCTTTTGTGTCAAGCTCCCAAATTCAACCAACTAAGAATGAAATTCATTCAGGATGACGATCCCATATTATATGATATTATATGTGTGTATTTCATGTTCATTCAGTTGTTGGGAGCGAAATATGTTCCATTTGTAGCTTTCAACATTGCTCCGTTAGTTGCAGCTTCCCCTTTGCTGTGCCGAGTCATGTCTAGAACCACCACGCGCAAAATTTGAGCGACGCGGAGCGTTGGCGCCAAAGGCTCCTGTGCCTGCAGTCTCAACTGGGGCCCTGTATAGAAATGCTGCTGGGCGGCAAATACTGAGACCAGACTTCCAAGATTTCTGGAAAAAAGGGAAGTTTAGGACAATTGTTGGAGTTGCAAACATAATAAATAAAAACAATAAGGACATGTTGGGTTATGGTGGGTTAAGGTGGGTTGATGGGTCACTTTTCTATGAAGAAAGCGGTCCAATCCATGATTTAAAATTGTCACAGTGACTCCGCGGGTTGGGGCCATCAAGGTGAATGAAACGTGACTAACTGGGAAATCCCCAAGAAAAATGGAGGTTTATAGGTGGGAAAATCACCTATATATAGATTAAGATATGGTGGAGTCTCCTGCAAGCCATGTTTGAAAGCCATGTTTGATTACCAGAGGGTATTCAATGTTATTCACTGAAAGGGAACTGTGCTCCATGACTGAAATTTGCAACGCGCACTTACTGAAAAGTCAAACATTGTCATCAGGGAATCCGGGCAAGACAACTGAGATCAACTCAGGCAAAGCAACGCAAGATCAGGAAAAAACATACTGTAGATGTGAACGCTTTTGTCATAGATCATTTCACGTCGCTGTGAACAAGCGGGTTGTGATCACTGTTTCTTCTTGGCCACCAGTCCTTGCCGAGCCTGGAATTTTCTTCGACGAATTCGGGACCAAAGAACTCTGCAGCAAATGCCGTGCCTGAATATCCAAAGATATTTGTGTGAACATTCTGCAGACAGCCATGTCTCCATTCTTCTGCAGCACTGAAATGAAGTACTACTGCAACAGCCCGAGCTCAAGGGCAACAAGCTTTGGCTGGTAAAAATTGATGGATCAGTCCCAAATCACACTAACTATTGGCCTATATAACATATTGCCCAACCGTTGGTGACCCAACCCTTCACAAACCTCATCGTGCATGGCTCAATTGGATTTTGGGTGATTTTAAAGTACTAAGGTGTACTAATAAGTATACCACATGGTACGAGGTTTATGACTACACATCTCCAGCGTACCTTTGGTGTCAGCCGCGGCGCAGAGCCGGTCCTCAGTGCTCGCCAGCCCCCGCATCGGTTGTGACAATGCTCTTGACGCTTGGTCGTTATTGCGGTTGCGAATCTTCATCATTAACGATTTGCTATGTGTGTGTGTGTAACATCTAAATAGATGTAAAACTTCTCTCTCTTTTTCTTCCTTTGTCCTCTCCACGGCTCCATTCATCAGTCCGTGGCCAACGAAGCTACTGATGTTTGGAGAGGATATGCAGTCTGATCAACTGCACGTACCTGCTTTTTTCGGACATAGCACGGACCATTCTGAAGTACTTCTATTATTCGTAGGATGCATCGTTAATTTCAGTGTTTCGTATCTAATCTGCACGTTTCAGGATTCAGTTCCTGCCGGATCATATAATGATCCATTCTTGTCTAGTGTGATTTCCATGGTGGCTCCGACATGGTGCCATGGAGCCATTTGAGGCAACCCTCTTCAGGGTGAGTGTTGACAGTCTTGAATTCTGAATTCACACATTTTAACTTAGTAATTCGTCTAAGTAAAGGGCAACAATCAGCCTTGCGGTTTTCCAGCCTTTTGAGGTTGTCCCGCTGCTCTTGTGGTCCCAGGGATTACTCGCCGATGCGTTTCTTCAACTGTGAAGCCGTGCCGAACTTCAGAAACCTCCTTTTTTCGCAGCTGCTTTTGACGATCCAGGACTACAGCATTTGATACAGGAATCAGGCAGGCACACGACTTTCAGGTGTGGTGACTCTTTCTTTTGATGGTTGTCTGTTGAGGTTAAACATTTTGTGCATCTAATTCGATGGAACTTGAAAGCCGTTTTATGCCCTTGTGGCTGACTGGAACACGGGCCTGGATTGGCACAACGCACGACCTTTAGGTTTAGGAGCTGAATCCTGTCTTTAATTAATTGTTTTGGTTTTCTTGCCTGTCATCAACTAGTCCCCCATTTGGTCCCTAATTTTCCCCGCGTGCCTCTCCGTAATGTGTCGTGGGGTTTAGGTGTGTGCGCTGTTTTTGGTCAGGTCCGTTTCGCCGTGTAGGTTGGTTCCGGAGGTCCGTCTGTTCCCCTCCCCCCCTGCGCTGTTTTTGGCCGTCTGCCCGTCGTGTGTCCGCTTTTTTCTTCCTCTTGCCTTTCAGGGTTGACCCGGCTCCGGCCGGGTGTGTGTGTGTAACATCTAAATAGATGTAAAACTTCTCTCTCTTTTTCTTCCTTTGTCCTCTCCCTTTCTAATTCTAATTTTAATGCAGGGGGCCACGGCTCCATTCATCAGTCCGTGGCCAACGAAGCTACTGATGTTTGGAGAGGATATGCAGTCTGATCAACTGCACGTACCTGCTTTTTTCGGACATAGCACGGAC